AAATGCCCACAGAAATGTTGCATGCATACTCATTTGTATTTACAGTAAGGTGTTTGCGCTGTTGAATTAAGTCAACACATGTCTAACTGAGTAATTTGTATGAAAATAGATATGTGAAAAATTTCTGTGGGCATTTTTGGGAAACCAGCGTAAGGGTACGTCTAGACTGCATTGCTATTGCGGGATACCCATTTTACAGTGTAGTCTAGACACTCTAACTAACTGCACCAAAAATACTGTGGTTACATAGGAAAATGGATATTTGTGTGAAAAAATAAATAGATTAATAGGATCTAAAATATAAGAAGCCTGGGGCGGCAGACAAAAGTGTGAAACTGTACACCAAATTTATATACACAGTTACCATGCTTCTGCGTGCAAATAGAGTATTTGTGTGTGTAAAGGAACTTGAATCGTCTTACCGTATATTTGCATATGCATGTATCTGATTTGTGCACATGATCATGGTAACTGAATGTAAAAATTATGTATCAAGCTATATCTGTGTTTTTATTAGCTGTCCTAAGCTTTTGAATGTCCAAAAATCACCCTCATATTGGCTGCTTTTTATGTACAAAGAATAGAATTGTCAGACACATGAATGAACATAATTTGTTGGGGAAAAGTCAACATGGTTTCTGTAAAGGGAAATCATGCCTTACTAATCTACTAGGGTGCGTCTAAACTGGCAAGATTTTGCACAAAAGCGGCCGCTTTTGCCCAAAAACTTTCCACCTGTCTACACTGGCCACAAGAATTTGCACAAGAACACTGACTTTGTAATGTACAAAATCAGTGCTTCTTGCGCAAATACTTTGATGCTCCCGTTCAGGCATAAGCCCTCTTGCGCAAGAATACTTGCACAAGAGGGCCAGTGTAGACAGGAACGTTAATTTCTTGCTCAAGAGAGCGTCTACACTGGCACGGATGCTTTGGCGCAAAAGCAAATCTTTTGCGCAAAGGCACATGCCAGTCTAGACGCTCTTTTGCGGAAATACTTTTAACGGAAAAACTTTTCCTTTTCCGTTAAAAGTATTTCCGCAAAATCATTCCAGTCTAGACGCAGCCCTAGAGTTCTTTGAAGGGGTCAACAATCATGTGGACAAGGGGGCTCTAGTGGATATAGTGTACTTAGATTTCCAGAAAGCCTTTGACGAGGTCCCTCACCAAAGGCTCTTAAATAAAGTAAGTTGCCATGGGGTAAGAGAGAAGGTTCTGTCATGGATTGATAACTGGTTAAAAGACAGAAAACAAAGAGTAGGAATAAATGGTCAGTATTCTGAGTGGAGAGAGGTAACTAGTGGGGTCTCCCAAGGGTCCTTACTGGGCCAATCCTATTTAACTTATTTATAAATGATCTAGAGCCGTGGTCTCCAACCTTTTTAAGCACAAGATCACTTTTTTAATTTAAGTGCAATCGAAGATCTACTTCCCACCCAAATACCCTGGTCCCGACTCCTTTGTGCCCCTTCTCTGAGGCTCCGCCCCTACTCACTCCATCCTCCCTCCCTCCCCCATCTTCCCTCACTTTCACTAGGCTAGGGCAGTGGGTTGGGGTGCAGGCTCTGGTCTTGGATTAAGGGATTTGGAGTGTGAGGGGCTCTGAGCTGAGCTTGGGGCAGGCCATTGGGGTGTCAGAAGGGGTTCTAGGTACAGTCTCTGGGAGGGTGTTTGGATGGAGGGGTGCTCAGGGCTAGGGCAGGGCCTTGGGGTGAAGGAGGGGTTCATGATGGGTAGGGTTTCAGGATGTGGGCTGCAGCTGGGCCCTGCTTACCTAAGATGGCTCCTGGGTGAGGGTGCATTGGGCTACAGCAGTCTCATCCCTGCCCTGGCCCTGCACTACTCCCAAAAGCAGCCAGCAAACTCCATCCTAAGCCCTGTTGTGCCTCCTCTCTGCTCTGCGGGGATAGGATACAGGCTTGGAGAGGGGGCACCCTGACATCAGAACCCCCCATCTCCCTTCCCTGCCCTGCACAGCAAGCAGGAGGCTCCTGAGGGGACAGCTCCAAGTCAACAGGTAGGAGCTGTGCAGCAGTGGGGGGAAGGGCAACTGAAGTGCCGGCATTTGAGAGCTTCTTTGCCAAACCAGCCAGGATCACCTGTGATGGGGACTAATTTAGCTCCAAGATCGACTAGGAGATCCTGATCGACTGGTTGGTGACCACTGATCTAGAGAAAGGGGTAACCAGTGAGGTGGCCGAATTTGCAGTTGATACTAAACTGCTCAAGATAGTTAAGAACAAAGCAGACTGTGAAGCGCATCCAAAGAATCTCACAAAATCAGGTGATTGGGCAACAAAATGGCAAATGAATTTTAAAGATAATAAATGTAAAGTAATGCACATTGGAAAAAATAATCCCAGCTATACATACAATATGATGGGGACTAATTTAGCTACAACTACTCAAGAGAGAGATCTTGGAGTCACTGTGGATAGTTCTCTGAAAATATCCACTCAGTGTGCAGCAGCAGACAAAAAAGCAAATCGAATGTTGGGAATCATCAAGAAAGGGATCCAATAGAGAATAAGACAGAGAATATCTTATTGCTGCTATGTAAGTCCATGGTTCGCCCACATCTTGAATACTGTGTACAGATGTGGTCACCACATCACAAAAAAGATATCTTGGCATTGGAAAAGATTCAGAAAAGGGAAAGAAAATGAACAGGGGTTTGCAATGGGTCCCATATGAAAAGAGATTAAAAAGACTGGGACTTTTCATCTTAGAACAGAGGAGTCTAAAGGGGGATATGATAGAGGTACATAAAATTATGAGTGGTGTGGAGAGGGCCGATAAAGAAAAGTTATTTATTAGTTCCCTAAATAGAAGAACTAGAGGACACCAAATGAAATTAATGGGGTAGTAGGTTTAAAACAAAAGAAAGTTTTTCTTCATGCAACACACAGTCAACCTGTGGAACTCCTTGCCAGAGGATGCTGTGAAGACCAAGACTTTAACAGGGTTCAAAAAAGAACGAGATAAATTCATGGAGGTTAGATCCATCATTACTTTTGTCAGGATGGGTAGGAATGGTGTCTTTAGCCTCTGTCAGAGGCTGGAAATGGATGATAGGAGAGGGGTCACTTGGGGATTACTTGTTTCTGTTCATTCCCTTTGGGGCATCTGGTATTGGCCACTGTTGGCAGACAGGATACTGGGCAAGATGAACCTTTGCTCTGACCCCGTATGGCCGTTCTTATGTTCCTATGTACAAAGGACAGTTGAGATATACAAATGCAGGTTGCTCAATGGAGAAACAGATACATCTGCACATTTCAAAGCACTTCAGTGGAAATGTACTGAAAATGAAGGGTCTGGTGTAGCAACAGCTTTAGAACTAGCTGTTCAGATTGCAGAAATGAATCTGCACTGGTGGCTTTTTAATGAGCTGCCGAGTTTCACTGTCATCGACATATCTGGGACGTTTGGGAAGCGATGACTATGAAGATTCAAAGCATACGTGAAGCAGCATCAACCAATATCATGTTTTTAACACCCTCCTTGCAAAATATTATGTAGAATGGTAACTGCCAGTATCATGGCTGTGATATTCCAAATGTCACTAGCAACCTATTCCGCCTGACGTCTATGTTTTAGCCATGCAACTTTGTGACAAACGAACTTACAGGCAGAAAATGAGTGCTGAAGACAAGCTGTCTATCTGGGCACGAGGTATTGAATGGGTGTGCCGCTCTGATGTCCACAGTCTCTATTCCAGTTGGTGGAGATGGGGTGAAGTTGTTCTGCAGAGTCATTCATGATAATGACTATTGTGTGTCCAGACAATTTTATGTGCCTGGAATATTGCATTTTACTCAGCATTGAGGGTAACTTCATGATACAGACCATCTTAGTGTCATAGTCTCTCAGTTCTTAATTGTATGCAAGCCATACCCAGTGAATTGGGGTGGTTTTTAAACCAATAAAAATGTAAATTACAGTCAGCGGCAAGATTGTTGTGCGGGAAGGGAATCCTCTCCACTTGCTGCACCTCCACATTGGTGTCAAGGACCCTCCTCCACATTGCCGGAAGGCCCGATTTCAAAGGTGTTTAGCTGCCTGGAGATGCTGATAGGCACCCAAGGGGATTTTCAAAGCACCTAAACAGATCAGGTGGCGTAAGTTTCATTTGATGTGAGTCGGGTGCTTAACTTCTTGATAATCCCAGTAGGCATCAATCTGCATCTTTGAACACCGAAGTACCTTTGAAAATCTGCCCCTCTGTGTTTAAACCAGAACCATCCCCTCCCACCCTGCCCCTGGAAATGTATAATAACTCTGGCAACGTAAACAGACTGTGTACAGAGGTGCTGTAAAAGTGTTAGGAGAAGGATTTCTCCCTTACAGGTGCTGGAGTGCCAGGTACAACAGCCTCTAGGCCGGGGTGCATAGCAATTTGTGAAGGGGGAGGGTCACTCCAAGATTTTGGCAAGTGGCAAGGGCCACACTTTTCTATGGAGGGAGTGTGGGGTCCGGGATGGAGGTTGGATGTGGAAGGGAGCTCAGGGAAGGGTTTTGGGGGGCAGCAGGGGGTGTGGGGTATGAGAGGGAGTGTGGGTGAAGGAAGGGCTTGTGACCTGGGACAGGGGAGTGGGGGCAGGAGAGGATTCTGCCTGGGGGAAGGGTGCAGGAGGGGGTGCGGGGAGTTGTAACCTGGCGGAGGAGGGGTTCAGAGGATTTGGGTGAAATAGAGTTGGGGTGCAGGAGGGGGTGGGCTGAAAGATGCAGGCTCTGGCTGGGAGGTGTTTACCTAGTTGGTTCCTGGCCAGCAGCTGCTGGGACCCTCAAGCAGGGCTCTACCTGCTGCAGGGCCAGGTGCTGGGACCACGTGCCTCTCTGCACTGTGCGCCCTGGAGGGGAGAGACTTTGTGCGCTGCTCCCGCCCCATCACAATCATCGCAACTCCCATTGGCTGGGAACTGACCAATGGGGACTGCGATGATTGTGCTGGGGGCGGGGACAGTGCACAAAGCCCCCCCTTCCCAAGAGGCGTGCAGCACCTGGAGTCACATGGTCCCAGGAGCCAGCCGCTTGGGCTGCAGCAGGCAGGAACGCTGCCTAACGGTCCTGGCAGTTCTGGGCCAGATCCAAAGACTTGACAGCTGGGTCTGGCCCACAGGCCATATTATGCCTGCCCCTGCCCTGGGCTCTGGTGGTTTCCATAGCTGATGCTCCATAGGGATCTAGGTAGGTCTGGTGCCATTGGGTTCAGCGCCTTCTGCATGCATGATTGGGCGATGCTTTTTTTCTACCTGTGGATTGCAATTTTTTGAAATATAAAGGAGGCCAAAATAGTCACGCAATGAGCGTGCAGGAGAGAGGTCAATGAAAAATGTGAGTGGCAACGGTGACTGGCAAAAGGATTTGGCTGTAACATACTAAATCTTTACACAGGAAGAAAGGTTGTATAGAAATTACCTTCTGGCAGAACCAGTCCCTGTCTGGGCGGGCTGTGGGAGGAGCCAGTGGCTGCCTTGTTTCTGCCATGGCAGCCCGACCCGACCCTGGCCTTGCTCCTGGAGTGGGGGAATCAGCCCCAGCCTTTTCTTGGGAAGCCATCACCAGCTTCCCCAGGGCTGGAGCTGAAGGTAGGGAGGAGCCCCAGGGGCCGCATGGATAAGGCAGCTGTTTTTTTTCTACCCGGCTTGTGTAACCCACACACCTAGTGTGGGTCACTGTCCCATGCAGAGACACTTACACCACTTACAGCATCAGATAAGAACAAGGGAGCTCTACAGCCTATGCTGAGCGCCAGCTGGCTCTTAGCTCAAGCAGTAGAGGCTCCTATACTAAGCTGCAGATGTCCCAGATTCAAATCCATCCAGGGACGGTTATACTTGCACGCGCTGAAATCACTTGAGCCTGATGGACAGAAGTCACAGCTAAGAGCTGGACACACACACACACCCCCGCCCCGGCTGCACCCCTGAACTCTGGCTGTGCACTGACCAAAGGCAGCAGCTGAGGGGCAGGGTGCAGAGAAGGTCTGGGCATGCGAAGGGCAGGGCCGGTGGGTTTCCAAGGACACTGCCCAACCTACTTACTCATGGTTTATGAATCTGCTCTGTGGTGTTTTCACAAAACTCTGCCAAGTTACTTCCCTCTCTTTTGTTACAAGTTTTTCCTACACTCAGACTCTGCCGGTGCTGGGGGAGCGTTGCCGCCCAGAGGCGCCCAGGGGCGGGGTGTGAATTTCCCTGGTTACTAGGTGGGGGCTGGAGCCAGTTCTGTGTTGGATGGATGGGAGGAACCCCTAGAAACTGAACCCAGCTGCTGCTGGTGCCAGCTGGCAGAAGGGTGACATACCTATTAAAACGCATCACAAGTCCAACTCTAAACAATTCTCAAAACCATTATCCTTACTCTGTCTATACATTTTGATTCCAGCCCAGAATTGTTTCTGTCCATGTGAGTGATGTGACGGAGTGGGGATTGTATTCGCGCTGTCTGCTTGGCGTGTGGTATGTGATTTCTACGGTCCTGTAGTAACCCAGTGTGTGTGCCTCAGTTTCCCTCAGCACTGCACCAATAGCGAGATGGTGATTGGACTGTTGCTGTGACAGTCTCCAGCATGTGCAGGATGGCTAATGCTTTCTGTAACCTGAGCCAAGGAGGAGGTGTGACCAGGTGACACTGTTTGCTCAGGAAGCTGGACATAGGCTGGAGGTGGGGCTGGCTGCAGGGGGAGACAGCTGCTGGGTGTGTGAGTGAGTCTCGCAGGCTTGGGATGCCGGGGTGGGGGGGAGTGTCAGGGCCCTGGGTTCTGAGCCCCCTCTCTCCTAAATGGACTGTATTTACTACTACTGCTTTTTGTGCTGACAAGTCTGCTCTACACTGTATGCCTGTCGACTAATAAACCTTCTGCTCTACCTGCTGAGAGTCCGTCTGGCTGCAGGTGGGGTGCAGGGCCCGGTGACTCCCCACATCTTGCTGACAGGTGTGTACAGAGAAATCAGCACTTACTGACTATACAAATCCAACCCTTCCAAGCCTAACTATATTTCAGAGGATTTCTGCATCTGTACAGCACATGGTACGTGGACTTCAGCGTTGCTAAAGATTGTCATTTGAGGGTAAAAATACCTAATGGTCAGGTCTACATACGTTAGAAAGACAGTCATTTTGGCATAGGAGAACGGTCGTCATTATCATTATCATTGTGGGGGACAGAGGCGAGCTGGTTGGTCCTGCCAAGTGGAGACATTGGTCACCATTAAGAATTGGGTTTCCACAGGAAGTAGCAACCCATCTTTTTGGCTTCAGTTGTTTTACTCTTCGTCTTCCTTTTAGCGTTGCCTATACTCAATCTTTACCCAGCTTCTGTGTCTCTTAGCCAAAGCCAGGGAGCAGATTTAGAGATTTGTAAAACGAAGATTAATCCAATGAATTTCAGTAAAGGAAAATGTGCTCTGAGTATCAGGAACACTTTCATATAAGTGAGGCCTCTTCAACTATCAAGAGTTACAGAAATCTGTAATGGTCGATATATTTAAAACTAAAAACGTCAATGTTGTAGGGAACATCTGCTATTGGCAGGGGGATGGAATATCGATCCAACCCCACTTAAGTCAACAGAAAAGTTCCCATTGATTTCAGTGGAAATTAGATCAGGGTTGCCAGGTGCCCGGTTTTTAACCAAACAGTCCAGTATTAAAGCTTTCTGTTCGGGAAACACATTGAGAAAATAGAAATGAGAAAATATAAACGTCCAGTATTTTCTAAATAAGATGTAATGTAGATTGTGATGAAATATCAAGCGTGTCCGGTATTTTTGTTGAAACCATCTGGCAACCCTATTGATAAATGTAGAGATTGTTCGGCTGCCTTCAGGGCCTTGTACACTTATTACTGAGTGCGGGAGATGCCATCTTTTGTCTGCAAGTGACTGTAGGGCCCGTCACATATTTTCACAACGAAACAGCAGTTTATTTGGGTTGGACTCAGATTGGTGTGGGTGGTTCAACCGCCTGATGTAAGATATTTTACGCTTGTTAGCTCTATGGTGACATTTGGCTGTTGATATCGGAGATGGAAAAATATCTGGTTTCTATGGTTCTGTGATAATATGGCAACAGACTCTCTCACTGGGGTTATTTTTTGTGCTACAGGATTAAATAAATACTTGTTTGCTTTTTAATACGACCTTTCTATCATGGCAGCAGATTGAAAATTAAATGTGTATCTAGACAGTGCCGAACTTTCAAGTAACAACCACAAAACCATACGGCTTGTTTTCCTTTCTCTCTTATTGACTTTACTTTGTTTCATGGTAAAACATATGTGACTTGGCTGTTGGTGCAGCTGTAACTTAGCAATGAAATGAAATCAGTGCTAATATTATACATGTATATAGGCAGACCTTCCACAAAACAACAAGCATCATCTTTTCTTTATGTAGCGGAATGTGACTGTATATTGACTGGAGCTTGTATTATTCAAATGACATTAACGTGTGCCCAGTGTGACAAGGGAGATCCTAGCTCGGAGATGGTAGCTTTACTCTTGGCCTTAAGATGATGTTTCTGATATTTGAGATCTCTGTTTTCATGATCTTGTAATTCCATGTCTTTGATTTTGGAGCTCCCTGTCTCTGGCTCACCAGAGCCAGGTTGGTTAATTTCCCAGGCGAGCTATGCTCACCTGTAGATCGGGATAAGTCTATGGGTGAGCATAACCCGTATCGAACAGCTCTCATTCCCCATTGGACTTGGGGGGCCCCAGCTCCAGCAGAGCAGAGCAGCCCAGCCCCTTTGCGCTGGTCTCCCTGGCCAGGAGCAGGACTCTTGGCCACATTTAGGTGCCCTCCTCACTGGAGGACCTGCAGGCAGCACAGGGGATATTGACTTAATTGGTGCCAGCTCCCCAGGCCTCGGCAGCTCCCTGGTCATGGGGCAAGTCTGCGCTTGAACTCGTTGGATCCCCATCGCAACGGCACCGGACTCCATCCAGGAAGGGGTCCAGGTGCCAGTCTCTGCCAGGAGTTGGACCGGGACAAGCAAGTCTCCATTTGTCAGGTTTGGAGTGCACCGCCCCTTCTAATGCACCATGGAAACGCCACTCTTGGGGTTGATAGAGGCGCTCCCCTACAAGTACTGCTAGGGGGAAAATGTCCAGCATGTGGCGAGCTCACACACCTAGGGTGTGTCTAGATACAGGGACTAGATACAGTGTCTAGATAAAGTGGACTTTTGTCTACAAAACTATACCTGCGTCTACACTACCACCGAGTTCTGTCAACATAACGTCGACAGAACTTGGCAGTTTTGTTGACGGCGGTAAACCTCATTTTACGAGGAATAACGCCTTTTGTCGACAGAGTTCTGTCGACAGAAGGTGTTATTCCATCCACACTGTCCTTTGCGTCTACACTCTCACGTCGACAAAGCGGCTTGCTTTGTCAACAGAACTGGTTGTAGTCTAGACGCTCTTTGTCTACAGACGCTTTGTCGACAGTATCTGTCGATAGAGCCTCTGTCGACAAAGGCCTGTAGTCTAGATGGACCTCTACCGTGGAACGGATGTGAGCAACACATCTCGAAGAACACCCGTTGTGAAACAGAGAGCTGCCTTTTCTCTCCAGTATGATGTATAAAAGAGGCCTACAAAGAAATCACCTTGTTTCATTCCACTGAAATGTCAGCAGTGTAAAGTCTTGAATTTCTTTCTTCTATGGGAAGTCTTTTTTTTTCCGCCCGTCATAGCAGATGCCAGGATTTTGACGTTTCAGCTAGGTCTGGGCAAGTAACTCTTCCTGTCTCATGAAAATATCAAAGCTTTCCAAGTGTTCCCAATCAGGACAAAACTGACCTTTGGACATTTTTTGTAAAAACAAGAGAGAGATTCCAGCGTAGCCAGTAGCTGGTGAAAGTAGCAGGGGAGAAAGTAACTTACATTTCTTACAGATACGGTTATATGAACACCTGCTTCCCCGGGAGGGCTCAGGGCAGGGGGTGGAGGGTGTGTGTGATATGACAATATCTGTGGGGAATTTCAGTGTGGAGTAGAGTGCAGGGAACACAGGGCAGGGTGGTTAGGGCGTGTGTGGGTGTGCTCAAGGCAGTGGGTTGGTGTGGAGGATTCAGGAATCAAGGCAGAGGGCTGTGGATGGGGCGTGTGCAGGAATTAGCTGGGACTGCGAGGAGACGCAGGCCAAGGGGCTGGGTATGTGAGAAGAATGCCGGGGAAGAAGGTGCTGAAGCCCTCCTATTCCGACTGATGCTGCTTGTTGCTTGCTGCTCCCCTTCGGTCACTGCCAAGGAGCATTATATTGTAGGTTCTGATTGAATTTTTGATCCACAAGGATTTCCAGATCCTCTTCTGCAGCACTCCCACCGAATCAGTGTTAGTCCCTATTTTGTAGTTACGCAGTTTGATTTGTCCTTCCTGCGTGCAGCGCTCTGCATACACTTCACTGAATGTTGTCTTGTTGAATTCAGATCAGTTCTCTCATTTGTCAAGGTCATTTGGAATTCTAATCTTGTTCCGCAAAGTGCTTGCAACCCCTCACCGCCTGATGTCATCCATACCTTTTCTAAGTATACTTTCCATTCCATTAGCCGAGTCATGAATGAAAATATTCAGTAGTACCAGACTCAGGACAGAGCCTTCCAGGACTCTACTAACAGAAGTCCTCTCAGTTTGACAGCAAACTATTGATAGGTAATTTGAGAGCCACTTTAATCCAGTAATGCACCCACCTTATAGTAATTTCATCTAGATCACATTTGCTTATGCAACTGTCATGCCAAAAGCGTTACCAAACTCAACAGCTTCCTTCCTAGACACTGGAACAGTAACCCTGTGAAAGAAGGAAAATAGGCTGGTTTGGCATGATTTGTTCGTGACAAATCGATGTTGGCTACTAGGTGTTACCTTGTTATTTTCTAGGTTGCTTCCAAATGAGTTGGTTAATTTGTTCCGAACCTTTCCAGGTTTGAAGTTAAACTAACTGATCCATATTCCCTGGATATCTTTGTTCCCTTTTTAAAAAATAGGTACTGTGTTTGCCCTTCCCAGGGACCTCACCTGTCCTCCATGAATTCTTGAAGCTATTGCAAATGGTTCTGAGATTTCTTCCGCTAGTATGTGCCCTAAGATTAATTTCATTAGGTCCTGCCAACTTATTTTTTCCCTATTTTTGGAAACGAGGTGGAACGAGGTGTACCGGTAGTTCGGAATAGGAATCCTAGCACGGGGTTCGAACCAGCGGGGTTTTAAAAATGGCGGCTCCCCGCTTATGCTAATGAAGCCCGGGAAATTCAAATCCCGGGCTTCATTTGCAAGTGCGGTATGCCTACATTACCCTCCTAGTTCGAACTAGGAGGGTAGCGTAGACATACCCTGAATTAGTATCTTCCTATTGAGACTTTTCCACTGGAAACATCGATAGGTACAACACATACAATCAGTGGACCGCTGGGGCTCTGCATACATTTTTACGCATGTAAAGGGCTCTGGAGCCCAAAAAGTTTGAGAACCGCTGCTCTAAGGCTACGTCTACACTGCAGACTTCTTGCGCAAGAACTGTTTTACGCAAGAGTTCTTGGGCAAAAAGTCTTCCACAAGAGTACGTCCACACTGCCATGTGCTTTTGTGGAAGAGATGTGCTTTTGCGCAAGAGCGTTCATGGTAGTGTGGATGTTCTTTTGCCCAAGAAAGCTCTGATGGTCATTTTAGCCATAGGGGTTTCTTGCTCAAGAAAATCATGTTGCTTGTCTACACTGCCTCCTTGTGGAAGAGCTCTTGCGCAAGAGGGCTTATTCCTCATGGGGAGAGGAATAACTCTTCCGGAAGAAGCCCTGTTTTCCAACGCTGTACTGTAAATTTACTTGCGCAAGAACACGCGTGCAGTGTAGATACCCGGCAAGTTTTTGCTCAAGAACAATTGTTCTTGCGCAACAAGCCTGCAGTGTACATATAGCCTAAATGTTGCTCATCTTTATGGGAATTCTCTCTTTAACATTCTCTACACACATGTGGGTCCATTGACTTTATAGAATTACTAACATGCTTAAAACAGCCACATAGGTGTTTGCAGCATCAGAGCCATAAGCCAATTAATAAGAATGCAGTTTTAACCTAACTATGGAATGATAACATCTGGATATGATAGTGTCCAGAATTGTTTGTAAAGACAGAGCCTAAATTCCCTGAAAAGGATTTACGATGGTTGTGACTTACAATTAATGTTAATGTTAATGCAGTAAATAAACAGAAGTGTTACGTTAGCCAAACTTCCATCTAATTAAATATTTACTATATTTATGTATCTGGTGACTTAACCAGGAAGCGGGAAGTGCTGATGCAAGCATCTCTAAAATGACATCTCTTGTATTTCTGCAGACTGACAGTGCTGACCTTGGCTGGTTGACCCCCTGCATCTCCCACTACTTCACTTTGCACTGGTTTCTCTCCCCCTGCCAGTGTCACTGTAAGTCTTTGAACCCTGCAGCTCTCTTGGCTTGCATGGATTTCATTTTCAAACATCTCTTGACAGGTGCAAATGTCTGTCTTTGAAGTTGTCGTGAGAGGCAGAGTCCCCTTTGGTCTGTAGCATGCCATATGAGATTCTGTCTTTATAGTGTTCATGGTTCTGTTTGGCTTGTAAGTCTATTGCCCCTGTTTCCCCGTAAAATAACAAAGGGTCGCTTTTTAATTATTCTTACTTTTGTAAGATTGATCATTCTTTGTAGAATGACTCACTCGGAGGCCCTTGATCTTTGGATATTATCTAACTGAAAGGGAAGTCTTTAAAACCATTTTCTGACTCCCCCTAGAGGATTTCTTTCACAACCTGGAAATCACACTACAGTGATAGAGAAACGGAGCATTCAGTCACTTTTGTCTGCATGGCTAGGTCAGTCGCAGTGCAGATTATATCTTTTTCAGTATCCTGCAGATTGCTTATTTCTGTCAGCTCCTGCTAATGACTCCCTGATTCTGTTCCCTCTTTAAATACAAAAACTTTTTGTCCATTTTCCCCCAGACACCGAAAGGGCCCAGAATTCTCTGCCAATCCAAAAATGTCATGACTGCCCAAAGATTTCCCACTCTTGTAATTCTACTAACTCTTCAATCACAGATTAAGTTAGAAATCCTAATATCAATATCTTTCTGAAGCCTCATCTCCCTTTATAATATGCATGAAAGTTTGATGTTGTAAATAATCTCTTATCATCTTAAGCATGTGATACATTTGTCCTCTTATCAAGGACCACAACCTGTATGTGTTGGAGATGAATCATTATCTTTTACTATACACCATATAACGCTTTGGCCAATATAGAAATTTCTGCTTTCAGCAGACAATGATTCTTGAGTCCTCTCTAGAAAAGTCACGGTAAGTGTCATACACTTTTTGACAAACCATATCTAAACATGGTTCTTGTTAGAAAGATCCTAACATAATCACCATTCCCAGAGGGAACCACACAATAACATTAAAAGATTTGTGTTTCAGCAAATAAGAAGAACATCGCTAGTTTAGTATGAACAAAAAAATCTGGTCTTTTTTTACTTTTAATACAAAATGCACCCAAACTCTGCTCGGCAAACCACGGTGTGAGAAAGTGGGTGAATCAAGACGGAAAGAAAATGGGACTAATGTCTGTACTAGTCCATTTCTCCAGTTGAGATTGGTGGAACCCATCCCTCGCCCACTCTCTCTTTCCTAAAGGAAAATTTTGTCATGATTATGAGTAGCAGCATTACAATAGTGTGTAGAGGTCCTAGTGTGCAAGATTCTGAATAAATGCACAGGCTCATATTTTTAAAGATCACAAACAAGTTCCTTTGAAAATGAGATTTAGGCTTCGGCTCAGGTGTTGCAATGCTGAGTGCAACAACACCCGAATTCCTGTTAAAGAAAAAGAGCCAGGGTGGGGGACAGTCTTGCTTGCCTTAAAAGCTCATGCCTAAGTTCTATCAAAGGGTACGTCTAGACTACAGGCTTCTGTCGACAAAGAGCGTCTAGACTACATTGAGTTCTGTCGACAAAGCAAGCTGGTTTGTCGACATGGTAGCGTAGACGCAAAGGACAGTTTACATGCAATAACACCTTCTGTCGACAGAAACTCTGTCGACAGAAGGCGTTATGCCTCGTAAAATGAGGTTTACCAGCGTCGACAAAACCCTGTAGTCGAGACACACCCAAAGTCTAGAGCCACCGTGTTAGTTTGTTTAGCAGTTGCCATACTTTCCACAAAATTATTATGGAAGGAATAGTGGAGAGTCATCATAGTGGCAGACAATCAGCAAGGAGATGGATGGATGTAGCAGATCACTGGAAATTCAGTTGCTTACTGTTGAGAGATTTGTATCCTTCTGATATTAAAAAAACAAAACAAAAAAGAAAAATATTGAGGTGTCATTAAAGCGTTTTTAAAATAAATTCTAACACATCTGAAAACATTGTGCCAGAGGAGAGATCTCCATTTAAGGATTGCATTGCAATCAGGGTCTCTCTTTTTGCAGGAGTGAATTTTGCATGTGCAATAAATGAGGCTCACTACACTGTTGCTAGGGCAAACTACATGTAAAATGCATCAATGAATTACTGGTTTTGAAATGCAGGCTCTGAAAGGTTAGTCGTTAATGATGTGCATCAACCTATATGTAAATTCTTTTGTGTTGCAGGAGTGTTAAGGAACAGAGAATCCGATGTGCGAATCCTGGATGATGGTGAGTGTGGGTGCGTGCAGAGGGTAGTGTGGCTGATGGAGTGGCAGGGAGATGTGTGTGTGTAGAGGGACAAGGACAGGTGGAGTGAAATGCTGTCTATGTGCACAAAAGGGTGTGTGCTCTCTGGGTACAGTGAAAAAGGGGGGAAGGGCTGCCGCCCGGTGTACACGTGAGACAGCAGGAGTGTGTGCTGGTGCCCGGGAAGTGCTGGTGAGTGCAGCAAAGGGGAACAAGGCCTGGTGGGAGCTAAGAGGTGTCTGGTG